TCATCAAACATTAAACCATATTTATATATAAATATGCAATAACTTATTTGCAATGATTTATTCAATAAAAACAAATGAATTCCTCTTTATTTCTTTGAACTTTATCGGCAACAAATATTTCGATTACACAATTATCGATTAACATATACCATACAGCTGTTAACGTGTGAACCGTCTTATACGATAGTTCTGGGTTGTTCTTGTGTTTGTTGTTATTTTCTGATTGAGCAAGGAAATCAGACGGAGCCGGTCAATATTAAACGACCTAAGTTTATCATTTCATCAGGAAATTTGTATCAGTACCGCAGCAACATCAAATAAAACCAACAAAAATGTCTTTCTTGACCAGAACATTGTTGAGAACTGTAAGTAAAAGAAGAAAAAAACAGCACGAAATCACTGCAAAAACAATTAGTGGGCAATTAGAACTTGTCAGTTTGCGAAATTGAATTCCCTTTTCGCGAGTAATGTAATAAGATTTGCTAAGTACAAAATCATTATTACGTAATCTCTATTATTATAAACAAATAAAAATACCTTAAAATCATGTCTTATTTTAGCTTCCACAAATTGGCAAACAATTTGCCAAGCAACAAAATGTGAACAACACCTTCAGACGTCTTTTGCATCAAAGTAAGTAGGCAGGCCCGGCAATGTACCCTGAATATTAATCACTGATACTAAATATTATCTATGTTTTTGCGTTTATATTACAGCTTCACCCTTGTTGGTTGTCAAAGTTCAACAACCGGCCCCAGATTTCAAGGGTATTGCTGTGTTGGGAAATGATTTCCAAGATGTACAACTTTCCGATTATGCCGGCAAATATTTGGTTTTGTTTTTCTATCCCCTTGATTTGTAAGTTTTTTCATCATATTGTCATTATTTATGTATGTATGTACATACTAATGTATGTATATGCTTTCCTCTTTACAGCACATTTGTCTGCCCCACAGAAATAATTGCATTTAGCGAACGCATTCAAGAGTTCAAAGATCTAAATGCCGAAGTTTTGGGTGTATCCGTGGATTCCCATTTCTCACATTTAGTCTGGTCCAATATGGAACGTAAAAATGGTGGTCTGGGAGGTTTGAAATATCCCCTTTTGGCCGATATTACCAAACAAATCAGTTCCGATTATGGTGTCCTTTTGGAAAATGAAGGCATTTCATTGCGTGGCACCTTCATCATCGATCCTAATGGCATTGTACGCCAATATTCCATTAACGATTTGCCCGTTGGTCGTTCGGTTGATGAAGTTTTGCGTTTGATTAAAGCATTCCAATTTGTGGAAAAACATGGTGAAGTATGCCCAGCCAATTGGAATCCCGAATCGAATCCTGACACAATTAAACCAGATGTTGAACAATCCAAAGAATATTTCAATAAACATGGTTAGAAGATGATGGAGGAAGATGGATTATTAGGACTGTGATTGAGTGAAAACTACTTCAAAGAATTGTTTCACGAAATCAATGTGTAAGAATGATGTGGTATATCTCGATTTGGTTTTGAATAAAATTCAAGTGTTTTTTTAAGTTAATTTAAAATGTTATTTTTGGGTCTCGTGTATCGATAGTGGTGCGTATGTGTATGATAAAGACGATTTTAGAAGTTTTTACCTTAAGTCGTTTTAGTGGTCCAGATTACAACGAAGTGCATTTTTAAATTCATACTTCATGAAATAGGGGGCCTTTAAATTTCAACTGGGAATCTTGTATTTCACCAAGCTTTTTAAAACTGCTTGGGCACTATTGGTATCACTTTAAAACGTGACTTGACTCCTTCAAAAAAAAAAAAAAAAAACATGGTAACATTGAGGGAATATTTGTTTTGTGATCTTGAGATTTGGTATTAAGGTCACTGATGTTGTGGTCATCAGTGTACGAAAGGTTCTAAATGTAGTTTAATATGAATTTGGTTATGGTAAAATTGTAATCTGAACTCTTGAGCTCGGAGGACGGTATTCTATATTCTCTCAGGGCTGCGGTTACACATCGGTATGAATGATATTTAGACCAGTTTGACGGGCAACTTGGACCTATCTCTCTATCAAGATCATGCAGATCTTTCCTGACACGCCTGGGTGGAGGAGTTTTAGGAAAACTTCTCCCTAAATCACTGAAGCAAGTACTGCTCTGCTGACGTAAGGAAAACATCTTCATCTCCCCATGAAGATGGTTCACTGGTGTGATAAGGATTAACCCTGTCGCAGTTATCAGGGCGGCGTTCTGACAAGTCTGGTACTGCATAGCTGACCACAGACCGACTTATCGCTTTGTAAGTGGTTAACAAGGTTTCCTTATCTGCGCTCCAAGTGCTGCCGGAATTGTATACCCCTCGAACTGCACATTCAATGGCATTCTCATCTCCGAAGTACATGTGGTGAACAATGTGGCCGAAGATTTCGTGGCGGATATTTTCATATTCCTAGCTTTAATGAAGGCTGTTAATTCGTCGAGGTAGGCGTTCAACCTCACACATACGTTCTCAACAATAGGACCCGACGCTATATACCGATCGCTATTGATTGTAAGCAACTGGATAGCTTTCCCTAATGCTGGGGATGTGTAAAGCCTCAAGGGACTTCGCTAGTGGCGACAAAAGTGTAATCGGCCTGTAAGATTCACCTTTGCTGGCATCCTTGCGGGCTTCAGTAGCGGGACCCCTGCCCATTGTCCAGACTTCGGGAACGACGTGGGTGGTTACAAACTAAGGGCTTTGGTCAGGTACTCAACTCCGGGCTCGTTCAGCTATTTCAGCACAGCCATGGATATTCCCCGTCAGTGTTTATCGCTTTAGAAAACTTAACGCTACGGATGACTCATGCAACATTACCCATAAACTGTGGTGGTACCTCCTCGGCGGGAAGATATCTTATACGCGGTAGTACGCTTCGCCCGGTCGCTTTCAGGATGATTGGCAAACTATCGGTTAAAATAACTTACACATCTCTTCGGCTGAGTCAGTTTCGAAGTTAAATGTGAAACCATTCTAACCAAGGTTTCAAAGCGACTTCACCTCTGTCTACAGTTTACCCCCGGAAACCCTGCCATTTGACATTTATATGGTTAAATAAATGCGGCGTTCACATATGATTGGGAAGTTTTGTTATCGGTAGCCAGTTGTAAAAATAGGGCCGATTTCACAAATGTTGTCCAAAGATCCATCCACAGGACTTGAAGATTATTTCGTTGAGTGACGTTTAAAAAAGAAGTCGAAGCGGGTGATCGATGACATGCAGCGCTTTCAGGACCTTATTTTTAGTTTGATGTGCTTGATAAAATTCAATAAGTTGTCGAACACAGTTGTACATTCGGAATTCTTCGGTCATCCATTCTAATACTTAATTATATTCTCAACTCACGCGTCCAGAAGGTGAACAGAGTAGTCGTCAATATAATCAGGTTTGATTTTGAAACTTTGGCGTAGGAGTTGAAGGAATGAAACTAGGAAAACTTTTGCTTCTTGATTCATCCTGTGTCAGGTTTTTTACGATCACGAGTGATTTGTTTGAGTAGATATGCCATAGCGCTGGCAGAGCATTTTGAGTCGAGTGACTCCTGTTAGTGGTTCCCAAGAAAATTAGTAAAATGATGTAGGATTTTATACACCAAATTTTGCGTTTTAAGACAGTGCAGTGTGATGTTTTCTATGGTCATAATCTTTTTGATATACCATACCTCGTGTAGGGCATGTTGTTTCCAGCGGCATAGGATTTTTCCTCAACGGTTTAATCCTTTACACACAACCCGCTTTTGTTTGGATTGCTCTACGAAGTGATTACAGCTTTGTAGCTCTGGCCGAATGAGATAAGATTCCTTTTCGGTATACTTGAAGAATCTGAACATTCTTTGTGTGGCTTGTGTGGTTTGGTATAATTCGTTCTGCGACATTTCAATATTACTCCGAAAAATGAAGAGGTATTATTTTATTGAGTCTACCTTGTTTACATTGCCCACGTATGGTCCCTTGTGATCATGGTCATATCTATTACTACTGTAATTTGTTCACTTACCTGTATGGGAGCGATTACATGGGCCAAGTTTTTGGTTGATTTCTCCATGTCAAGCAGTTCTGAATCTGCTTCAATGTTGTTTGGTGATATGATCACATCTTCGACACTTTCTTGTCTAAAAGAAGTTGTGATTTATTTTAATTGTTCGCACAGATTGTGAACCATTTGAATATAAACAGATTTTTTGTATTTTATAGCTAGTTCACTTTTAAATCACAATAACATCGAATGAAACACTTTAAAGTAAAAAAAGGTTTAAAAGGGATGAACATCCATTGCGAACATTTCTGGATAGTGTTGTTTATTATTTTAGTTTGGTTTTTCTTATTTCTAGATAGTTGTCTTTATATTAATTTAATGAAAATATGTTACCACTCTTCACTTTATTAAAACACATTTATATTTTTTAACGTCACTATATTATGATTTATTGAAATAAAGTTATATGTATATGTTGTTATATCGTAATGTAAGATTATAATTGAGATATCCAAGTCAAAAGATAGACGACAACAGCAGAAATTCATTGTTATTTTTCTTTCAATTTCCAATTATTTGACAAACACTTAAGAATTATTGATTGTTTTTAATGGCAAAGTTTGTTTGTTTTTTGTTTTAATGCTGTTATATGTTATCACGCTTATTACACACTAAACACTAGGAGAGTGTCTAAATTAAAGACATATTTATAATTTAAATGATAGCAGCGTTCGTTATAGAAATTACATTTTCTTTCTATAGATGCTTATAATTTTTAAAATTAAGTAAGAAGGTTTATAAAAGTAATTGTATACAAAATCAAATTGTATACTTTTTGGATATAAGTTAGGTTTAGGAGAGAAATATGATGAAATTTTAATAAGGTAGAGGGTTCCTTTATATGACAAGAAAAAAATGTGGTTTTAATTATATAATTTGATTGTAGCACTTTTAAAGTTACTCGACAATTGACAAACTAAATTGATTTGTTTTTGTTGGTTGACGTTCAATTTATGATGGTGGTGGGGGTGGAGGAGGTTGTGCTAAACTTCCAATGCCTGGTGGTGGTGGTGCACAAGGCGGAGGTGGTGGTGGAGCATATGCACCGGGAGCACCGGCACCCCATGCCGGAAATCCTGGTGGGGGTAATATGCCTGGAGGTGCCTGCCATGGTGGCAGTCCAGTACCCGGTGGTGGTGGCAATAAAGGTGGCATGGGACCTGTACCAGGTGGTTGCAATGGTCCAGTACCAGGTGGTGGTGGTGGATCACCGCCTGGTGGTGGCGGTTGTGGTGCACTCATCCATGGCAAAAGTGGTGGAGCCGCCGGTGTTGGTGGTTGGGTAGTAGGTGGTGGCGGTATCAAGGGCGGCATGGCCACTGGAGGAGGATTAGCGGTGCCCCATGCTGGCGGTGGTGGTGGGGCCGCCACAGTATTATGTGGTGGTGGCGGTGCACTTTGTATGGCTTGCATGGTTGTGGGTTTCTTGTCGAATATACTATAGCCACGATTAATATGCACTTGGGCCAAGGGATCAGGTTGATTTTTGGGAGCAGCAGATGGTGGTGGTCCCTCACCTAGCTCAGCCATTAAGCTCAAATATTCCTCATCGATTTTAGCTTGAGAGTTCTCGTTTTCTTCACCGGGTACGCCAGCACCAGGACGTTTACTGCGACAATCCTTGGAGATGTGTCCAGCTCCACCACACGAAGTACAAACAATGCTGTTTGTAATATTGGGTTTATCCGGACAGAGCCATGACTTGTGTTCGGTGGAACCACAATTGGTACAGCGAGGACAATCGGTTTCACGTAGAGTACCGTTCAATTGAGCCAATTCTCGTAGCTGCATGCGACGTAAATCGTTATGGCCTTCGGGTACTTCAATGCCCTGGCGTATGATATCCTTGATTTTATCCACGGCCTTTTTAACAGCCTCAGGATTGGAGGCCGTTATAAACGCATGTAATGGCTCATCTTCACCAGCCAAAGGTTGGCCATCTTTGCGTCCAACTTTACCCTCTTTAACAGAGCCTTTGCCGCGTATAATAATCTTGGCCCCAGTTTCTTTTTCTATGGCTTTCAAAGTATTGCCACGTGGGCCAATCAGCAGGCCAACAAAATTAATGTCTGGATGTTGTTCCTGTGGTATCAACACCTTATCAATGACCCTTGTAACCGGGGGCCTACGGAAAGAAAATCATATTTATTAGATATTTCCGAAAAAACATCATCACTTGTCGGTTACTTACTTGTAATCTGCTGGCGGTTTAAAATCAGGATTAACCGTTTGCATTTTCTGTATCAATTGATGCCGTTGATCTTCCAGTTTCTTGCGATAACGAAACTCTCTAGTATTCAAACGTTTGCCATCAGAGCTATAAATTGGTTCTGGCGAGGGAGACCTATTAAATAAAAAATAGAAAAAAACGATGCAAGATTAGTAAATAATGTAGAAATATAACCCCACTATTTTTGTCATTGAAAAAAATTGTATTTGTAGCTGAAATTTAAAATTCAAAAATTATAATTAATTCCTAATTAATATCCTGTAAAACGTTGATTAGATTATTATTAATTAATTAGCATTAATAGAAAAACAAAACATCATAGATGGATTAGATTAGAATTGTGTCACACAATAAACCGCCGTTCTGTTGCTTTCTTCTTTCTCTCAATTCATTCAGAGTTCATTGGCAAGTTGAAGTGGGGGCGGGAGGAAGGAAAAAGAAAAATTTTGATTAATATATCTATTTTAACAAAAAATGTTAACTCATTTTGTTGTTGATGTTTTTTCCTCAAAATTTTACTGACTGTGTGTTTGTTTTTTTACTCTTATTGTGGCCGTCCACGTTTATCTTTCTAAACACACACACACACTCTGCTAGAGAATATGTGCGTGTGTGTGAACTTTCTGTATTTTATCCTTGGAAAAGAGAAAATTGTAGTTATTAGAAAGCATTAATGATTAGCATCAGGTCATCAGTACTTTGCTTACATGAACCAGTACACCTGCGAATATTTTTTCTGTATAGAGAGCTCAGATTGAGATCACAATCACACTTTTTATTCACCTAGATATTTTCAAGGAGGGAAAATTAGACGATTAGTAATTTGTTGTTTTACCACACTTGAAGAATTAATTCTGATCATAATTACCAAAATGATAATAATATTTGTTTTTGGTCCCCTGTAGTGAAATAAGTGTAAATTATTACATGATTTTAGTAAAATTCCCCGTTAAAAAAATAACTGCCACCAATTACCAATAACCCTACTGTTAATTTCCGCATTATAAAACTTAAACCATGACAGACACATGATACGAATTAATTTCTTTAATTCCTAAGCGGGTCATTAACTAACAACACATTTAAATCAAAAATAGTGAGGTGAATATCTGATAGATATCAAATGGCGATCTTATGAAATAAAAATTGATAAAAAAAAGTATTCCAAATTTGAAGTTAAGATTACTTTAAACCAAATCGAAAATATTTATTTTCCACTCACAAAAAGTATGAATCAAAAGTTGTTCAATAAAATTGTAAGCATAACCGTCCGCCTTATATCGGAAAATATTAAATTAAAATCAAGTAAAGACGAAGTTATGTTGGGAGAAACTTTTTATACAGGGGATGATAGGATAGATAACAAGCAACGGCTCTGATTAAAGCCAATCAGAGCCGTTGCTTGTTATCTATTATGGCAAAGCCCAGGTTTATCTTGGTCCCTCTTTCATCGCAATTGTGGACACACGGACACTCGACGTCGAAAAGCTGCAAACACAACAGGTAACAGTAGCCTACTCTGTCCCGATAATAATATAGAAGCACAATGGAAAAGAATTGTCCACTCCCTACGTACTGCAGTAGATGGAACACTTGGGTACCAAAGACCACCATCAAAAGAAACCCGTAGTACGATCAGGAGTGTCGTAATGCTACTGATATGAAAAACACAGCGTATAGGACAACCCCGCGGACAGTAGCAACACGTAATACTAGAGAGAATTATAGGGAGAAAACGAGAGAGGAGAAACGTATTTTCAAACAAAAAAAGAAATAACAGGAAAAACGTGAGCGGGAGTCAGAACGAAGTACGGAAATGTTACCAACGGGTAAAACACCAAAACGAAGGCTTTGATGCAGTCACATCCTCCTGTAGAGATGTAGAAGGAAACCTGGTGAAAAAAACTTCTGGTATCAAATATATATGACGGTATAGAGTAGAAGATATGACGGTATAGAGTGCATACCACCTAACCAAGATGAGGTCAGAATAGCAAATAGTCGGCTGAAGAAATATAAAGCCGCAGATGCCGATGTATTACCATCCGAACTATTCAAGACCAGTGGTTAGCTGATTAATACAATTTGGCTAGAGCAATGCATGTCCAATGATTGGAACCCCAGCATCCTGTGTCCGTGCACAAAAAAAGAGAATAGACGATATATGCCAATTATAGAGGAATTAGTCTCCTTCCCATCGCATATAAAGTGCTATGGTCAATGACATTATTGGACCATACAAATGCGGCTTCAGACCTGGCGAATCCACCACTGACCATGTCGACGTTCTGCATTCCTGCAAAATAATACGGCTATGCAGAATAACTTTAAGTGGCAAAAGGTCAGCAGTTAAAGTCGGAAAGGTCTTCTCGGAGCCGTTCAATACCGAACGAGGATTCAGGCACCGATGACATCGAAATAATGGATCGAACATTGGGAACGGTAACAACCACCTTTGAACAAATTGAGGAGTCTGCCAAAGTAGGACTGGCAGTAAATGGCGAGAAGATCAAGGTATCAACGCGCAAGACGTCCAGTAGACTCGGACCAACTGTGGCTTTTGAGGTAGTCAAAGCTTTTATATACCTCAGTACCGCCATAAACCAATAAAATTCGGAGGAGAATAGTATTTGCCAACATATGCTACTATGGTCTGAGTAAACAGTTTTGAAATAAGGACATCTTCCTCCAGACCAAAGTCACACTCTACAAGACGCTGATACTACCCGTACTGTTATATGAATCTAAAGCATGCGGATGAGGCAGCTCATGGAGTGTTTGACAGAAAAATTCTACGAAAGATCTATGGGCCGATTTGCGTTGACGGTGAATATCGCCATCGAATGAACCATGACTCGGACATCGGCATTTTTAGACGTATTGAACTGCAGCGACTACGTTGGCTAGGTCATGTTGTGAGAATGGATGAAGATGCTCTAGCCCAGAAGGCATATAAAAGCGAACCAGCTGATGGTTCACGCAGAAGGGGAAGGCCACGAATAAGATGGAAAGTGGAAGACAACATTGCCGAATATGGTCTTTCAAATTCAAAAAAAAAAATTTTGATTATTTATAAAATATTCATGTATTCAAATAAAGTAGTATTCAAGTAAATATATAACGATGGGCAATGTTGGAATCAAGTCAGATACTCCTCGAACCATTCAATATGAGAAGAATAACAGATTTTCAAATGTTTGAGCCGTTTGGGGAAGGTAACAAAAGACGAGGGCCGATAAGTCCCATCTTCGGAATTTATATATTTTTTTTTCTATTTGGATCGAATACTATTATGTATTAGCTTTTCCCCAAAATGTTGATACATTTATTACGGAAGTATATACCATTTCAAAAACGAACTTATATGTCGTTGATAATCAGATTCTATGGAGCTATCGATAGTTTTTACAATTCCCTGTGAGAGCGTCGCTTAAAGTATACATGTTGACTGTGAATAAAACAGGAATGTAGGAGCAAATGATACTTCCTCTAAGGTCCGTGCATTTGTTAATGCATTATTCCGTTACTTAAAAAAAAGCTTCTGCTTAGGACTTCCCAGTAAATTTAAAAACTATTAACCTATCTGTCAATCCCACGGCAGTGGGTTCTACGATACCGGATTGACCCGATTCATCTCGGCCAGCGGCTGCCAACCCAGTTATATATGTTTGTTATATATATATATATGTTATATATTAAACTATCTGTATTATTGCTGATGTTCTATTCAAAACCATAAGATGCAAACATATTGTTTTCTTCTCCAGCATTCGAATGAATTAGAATTTATTCCAATAAGATGAATTCATTTATCTGAAAATACACTTGGTTAATAAATTACTTTTTTAAACAGCGATTGGTTACCATCAAAAAGTGGTATTTTCAAAACTCCACTTGGTAACAACTGACAAGGTCTCAGAGTGGATATTAGATTTTTAGAATAATTTGAATTAGAGACTAATAAATAGTTGTTTTTTTTAATAAAAACAACAAATAGTCCGGCTGAATTGTTTTGCAAAAACAAAAGAGAAATCTATTTTTCTTGGAAATGTCAATTATGGGATGCACAAGAATATTTAAAACTGGGCTCGGAAATGCGGAAAAATATTTATTCCTACAAAACAAAAGATACACAAATTATATTAAACTTTTAGGAAATATCCTATAACTATATGACCCTTTCAAGCCTATCCAAATAACTGATAAATACCATTATGCACTAAAGATAAGTCTTTCCTAAATTCTCACCAAAGTGACAAATTGTTCGTTAAGAAAATATTTCATTGGATCGTTTACAATATTTCATCCATCATTCTCCGCTTCCATATGTTTGTTTCCATTAAAAACTGACGATAAAAAGTTCGATAATTAAAATTGTCTTAAATAGTAGTAATAATAAATAAAAAAATATAACTTAAATATAGAATGCAAACCTTTCTTCGGGATTTTGTGGTATGCCCAAGTCTCCGGTACGCAGCTTACGGCTTATTTCCTCAATTTGTAGTTGAACTGTAATTAGAAGGTGGGGTTAGAAAAAAGAAGAAAGAAAAAAGAGGCAAGAAGCCTCATTATTAGTAAATTGTATTTTATAGTGAATTCAAATCATACAAATAAAAGAACATATAAGATTTAACTTCGATTAAATTTTATATTAAATTTGACGGTAGTTGGATTTTTTTACAACGTTGTTGCTCACTTCTTCATGTAACGTACTACGAAGGAAGATACTGAGGAAAATAAACTATAAAATAAATTATTAACATAAATAATAAACAACACGAGTCTGACTTATTTTTGTTCTCAACACCTTTGTGTGATATGTTTCTTTGTAATTTTTGTTTTGGTTTTTACCAATTAGACCAACACTCTAAAAAAGAAAACTAAAACATTAGTAGAATTGCATAGAATGTTTCGTAAGAATGTGCAAAACAAACATCCGCTTCAATTCGTTTCTATTGTATTCTTCAGATCCATTTGTTGTAGAAGGAAGTAAGGAACATTTTTTGTTTGGATATTTTGTATTTTTTTTTCTTATATGAATGAGTTGTTTGCCTTCAAAAAGAAAACGAGGAATGTTTAATTAGTTTTTTTAGTGCAAGAAAAACAATGTTTTTTGATGTTTTTGTTTTCAATATCCACATTTTGCTGCAAGGGACAGGATCGATCCTTTAATTGTTTCGCCAAAGTGCAAGAACTGAGGTGCCAGACGTTGGCCGAGTGAGACTCGGTTTGTTTCGGATCGTAGACCCCTCCTCTGTTGTTGATACATGCCTGTGTACTTGTTGTGCTTCTTTAGTTTGCTTTTAAGGTTGGTTAAGTTTGAATGTTTAAATGTAGAACTTACTTGTGATGTTGTTTGGTTTGGTTCTCATATATTTTTAAATACTAAATTATATTCTTATTCTAGTTATATATAAAAATATATATAATAAAATGTTGTAAACATTTACCTAAATATGCTTCCTGTTGCTTGGGATCCAATGTTGGTGGCAGAATTGTCGGCATACCGGGTATAAATGTTTTATCGTTTTCCGTACCACCCCAGCGTGATTTCTTGCGTCGTTTTCTTTCGCCCTCTTCTGTAAATAGATGGTTAAATAGGTTTGGTATATTTTGGTATATAAAAACAATATTAAAACAATTCAACTTACGACTTCCGCTGTCCGTTGGTCCATTCGATGTCGAATCATTGCTGTTATTGCAAGAGAACAATGCGGCAAAATTTTTTGCATTTGTTGTACTGCTCATAAGTTCTTGTATTGTTTGTGTCAAATCAAAACGACTGTCCCGGGAAACTTCCTCCTTGATAGATTCCAAGTGCATACGTTCAGAACGTTCTCTGGAACCACTTCGGTCGCGACTTCTACGGCTACTACGTTCACGGCTTGTGCGTGCTTTACGTCTATCATAACTACGACTACGCGAACGTTCACGATCTCGATCGCGTCGACGATCCCGACTGCGTTCACGACGGCTACCTCCACCACGCCGAGCATCATAATCATCGTAGGTTCGAGAACGACTTCGACGTGCTCGTGAATCACGATCTCTATCACGTCGTCTATGATCACGATCTCGGCTAGTACGATCACGACTAGCACGATCCCGATCGCGACTTACGCGATCACGATCACGGCTTGATCTTCTAATATCCCGTTCGCGGCCACGATCCCTATCTTTGTCCTTTTCACGCTCGCGATCTCTGGAACGGTCCCTGGAAGTATACAATAACATGTTTAATAAATATTTTGAATTCAAAATATAGTTGTTGTGGGAAGAGGTGATCGGGATGAAAGTTGCGCTGATCATTTTTTAACTTCCATCATGAAGCGGAGTACATTTATGAGGAATATGTAATCGAAAAACCCGAAATATAAACACTTTGGTAGGAAAATACCCCAACATACATGAAAAGACATAGGCTGGGATTGGACCTTTATATGGAAGCTATATCAAAACATCAACTCGTAATGGCCAACATACATTTACATAGGTTGAAAAATACGCATTGGACAATCAAGAACAGAACCTTATTTTAAATAGGATTGTTTTTTGTTGGTTACCGGACGTCGGTGGGGGAATTAAAACTTTCTCTTATTATAAGAATGCCGGAATTGCATACGCGAAAGAATCCCCTATTACCCCGTTTTTTTATATTTTTCTTACAACACATCAGGCGCTTCAAAATAATTTTCCGGACCAAACTAAGCAACAAAATATTTTTCAAGGACTTCAGTGAGACTTTTTATAAGTATATTTTTTAATGACCAACCTGAGCTTCCAATATATTTGTTACTTAATTTAATCTTCCTCTTTACTTGACCATAATGTTTCACCCTGACGACGTGGGGTCTGCCTCCAGCAGAAAGACCCAATAATATGCTTCCGGTCTTTTTCTGCTGGAGGCAAACCCCACCGGTATCTTTGCCAATGGATTAAACATTATTACGTATTTTCGGCTTAACTCTAGTTTAGTAAAAACGATCAGATTTTTCTGAAAAATTTTCCAGAGGTAGGTATTTTTACCCTACTTATGGGGATATCTTTTTTTCTTGGGGGACGTACCCGGTTACCCGGTTATTTGACCCGGAAGTTCGGGTACGGGTACCCGGTTATATCCGGTTCTACGGATCCGGATAATATAATATGGGTATCATTTTAAAGGTTATAAAAATACCTTTCCATTGAGTGGTAATATGATGGGGTTATCTCAAACCATTTTGGAGATATAGTCAAAAACTGGGTTTTGGTCCCCGATTTTTTTGAAAAACTCCCTAAAAGTCGAACTTGGGCCCATTATAGTACCTGTCTAACCCAAACTCAAATGATAGACCACAATTTGCCCTTTCCAAAATGGTGCGATATGTGACTGTATCTGTTGTGGATCAAAAGATATGGGCCTTAGAACCCTACAAAAACAAGGAAATTCTGTCGCGTAGCCGGTGTTGGTATCTGTCCATAGGAGAAAGTCTTAAATCCACGGCCGAAGGCCGGCTACACAAAAAATATTCTATTTAGAAGGATTTTCTGCCGCGTTAGCCGGTGTTGACATCTGTCCATAGGAGAAAGTCTTAAATCCCCGGCCAAAGGCCGGTCACCCAAAAAAATATTCCATTTAACAAGAGATTCTGTCGCGTAGCCGGTGTTGGTAGCTGTCCATAGGAGAAAGTCTTAAATCCCCGGCCGAAGGCCGGCTACACAAAAAAATATTCTATTTAGAAGGAGTTTCTGCCGCGTTAGCCGGTGTTGGCATCTGTCCATAGGAGAAAGTCTTAAATCCCCGGCCGAAGGCCGGTCACCCAAAAAACACCATGCTATTCAAAAGGAGATTCTGTCATGTAGAAAGATTTTCCTTGTTTTATAGGGTTCTAAGGCCCATATCTTTTGATCCACAACAGATACAGCCACATATCGCACCATTTTGGAAAGGGCAAATTGTGGTCTATCATTTGGGTCCTGTTTGGAGACGGACTATAATGGACCCAAGTTCGACTTTTAGGGAGTTTTTCAAAAAAATCGGGGACCAAAACCCAGTTTTTTGACTATATCCCCAAAATGGTTTGAGATAACTCCATCATATTACCACTCAATGGAAAGGTATTTTTATAACCTTTAAAATGATACCCATATTATATTAACCGGATCCGTAGAACCGGATATAACCGGGTACCCGTACCCGAACTTCCGGGTCAAATAAGCGGGTAACCGGGTACGTCCCCCAAGAAAAAAAGATATCCCCATAATTAGGGTAAGAATACCTACCTCTGGAAAAAATTTCAGAAAAATTTGATCGTTTTTACTAAACTAGAGTTGTTCCGTATTTTCTTTTTTAATAATAATTTTTCAATACTTCATGACCATTTTCCCATTTCTTTTTTAAATCTGAATCTGTGTATGTACACACAATTCACATATGCATCGCACAATCAATCATGCATGCAGAAAAATTCAATTTGTTTTGTAGGGGACAAACAAACAGACACACAAACAAAAAAATGCTGTACCCGAAAAATTTTCCTCCACCATCATAATAGAGCATTTCCTTTTCTAGAATTGTATTTTTAATTACAACAACAAAATTGGAAAAACTTACTTTTTTCTACGACTACGATCTTTATCCTTTTCTTTGGATCTAGAACGGGGAGAGCGTCTATGCCTGTCCGCATTACTTTCATTTTTTTCGTAACCATCACAAGCTCGTTCATCATGTCCGGATGGTGTTCCCATTTTTGTATCACCGTTTGGATCGTGACTATTCCGTGAAAAATTATTCTCCGTATCACCACCGTGAAAATCACTCATCATTTATATCGGGTAAATATCCACACAAATTATCTCATATATTCGTCCAATTATAAAACGTTTGCAAATCAATTGAAAATGTAATGTCGAAAAATGTCCTATAACACGTTCACGAAAAAATGAGCCAGACAACGATGTCACATTTGCCAGACACATGCAAAGATGCACATTCAAAGTGTTAGAATAAGACGTATATAGTTCTAACTAGGTTAATCATTCTCAGTACATTTAACTATGTTATTAAAAAGAAGAATACACAACGTCGTCTGAAGAAAAATTGAAAAACGCTCCACCTGCTAACGAATGGGAGGAGAAGACAAAATGGCCGATAAAGATAAACCCCAAAATGGTATAACCGAAAGTTTACGAATGATGTGGGAGGGAGACTAAACACACATTCGGTCTGTTCCCGTACTGCAAGAATTTTTTTATATAACAAAAAAAAGTAAAAATAGCCGGCTTGCTTCCAACTCTGAGAACAACGATGTCACATTTATATTGTTGTCATCGGCGTTGGTTAAACAATTTGAAGTGGCGTTATCGATACATCAGTGCAACACAGCTGGTTGTTTGTACAGTACATTTTCAATAACGCATTTTATCAAAGAAATACACTCATGCAATGATGATGAACAGTCGCCAAACGACCAGTTTTGCCTATGAAATATGCGATAATTTGCTTCGATGTGCTTCTTTGAGAAATTTATATAAACTTTACACGCGATGTCGGAATTCTTTCGACCCAAAAGTTTCTTTAAATATCATGCATATAGTCCCTTGAGAACTTCCGAATAAATTTAAGCATCCTTTTGATCCCATAAGGTCGATTGTTTTTTTCTCGAGCTGTTGGATGAATCATCGGAATCGGAAATCACTAAACAAATCAACGCCAAAGAAATCTCTGACAAGAAGATTTATCGGAGAGCTGTTAATTACTGCAACTGTTTCATCGGCAGCCTTAAATACAATCCTGTAGCTCCAACCACTGAATTTTCTGTTTAAATTTCAGGGAAACAGATGCCTGGAAGTCGCTGAACTTTGGTCATGCTACTTATTACCTTCTAGGGTGGAGTACTCACATTAGTAACTATACTCCCTCTCATAGCAACTTTAATGATATTAGAGTAGAGTTTCCTAGTAAGGAATCCTCGGCAAGTGGATCCTTACCTCTGGTCGGCCTGTTGATATGTACAGAAGGGTCGAATATGGATGAAGGTATTGGTGCTGGTGTTTACTGCAAGGAACTAGTCATCTACAACTCGTATAAACAAAACGCTCTTTGTTGCGGTTTTCAGCTGAAATCTCTACGTGATATACGACAGATAGTTAAATTATGTTAGGATCCAGGACGAAGTAACATAGAACGGAATGAGCTAGCCGATGAGTTTGCTCGAGGGGCTTCGCAGTCGTCCAATCTACCTATTGAGGGATCTGTACAACCGCAAAATCCGTATGAGCTACAGCGAGGTAGTCGCCAACAGATGGTCAACAGAACATGGATGCTAGATTTCAAAAACCATTTGCTCAGAATTCTCACGCAATTGAACTTCTTCGCTGCTTTTTCATATTAGGAGGGAGATAAAAATCATTGTGGGTATCATAACAGATCACTGCAGGATTAGATATCGTATTTCCAAATGGGACATTAACGGAGTGGATTATTGCCGTCTATGTGTTGATGAGGAAGAGCTGGAGGTGTCCATAGATAATAAGCAGAAGACACCGACAGTTTGGTAAATATGAAATTGATAATCTAGCATTCTTCTCCGGAAGAGAAGCAGATCCTAAGCTTTGTTAAAACTTTGAATTGGCTAAAATAAATATTTTTCCTACACTGTTTTAAACTTCGTCTATTTCTCCCCCCTTTCCCCACATTCCTTTACTCCATTGCCCATTTTTATGTTCTATAACCTACAATAGTTTATAATAGATTTTTTATGTTGATTTTTTCTAATAAATGTTTAAATTAGAACCATTTTTTTTCGTCCGGAAACCCTAAATAAATTACATGTGCAATTCTGTGTGTCGCTTGACCACTTAATTTCATTGACACCTTTCTCCCTTGTGTTATCGAATTGCAATCGATTACCCACTGTGTCGATGATTCTATGGCGGCAACAAAAGCAAAAGAAAACATAGAACACAAAGAAAGATTATTGTTTTTGTTGTTTTCTGTTGTGTTATGCATTAACATTTCTTTAAAGATAAATTATTGTTGTACTTTGTTTTTGTAAAGAACAACATTTTTTATTGCTTTTAATTTTATTAAATGAATGAAACTGTCATCAATAATACAACGCGCGAACAATATAATAGTAATCGCTCATTATTATCCGCATTAGATTCGATTAGATATGTCAGCTAAACGAAAAGATAGTAACCGAATCTAATAAATCGTTCACAACATATATCAGATACTTTTGAGAGAGTAATGTTGCGCTATTTTTAATTTTGTTGTTCACAAAAGGTACGGTAAACGCTTAGTTTTTTTATTATTCTTGAAATTATAACATATATTATTTATGCAAATAACTGTATAAATATTGGTATTTATCGCATTTGAAGTAGAATTTCTGCCAACACAATGCATATTGTTTTTTATGTTCCTTAACCTATACGATACAACGTGTTGTGACCGCCTGTCGTCGGATTGCTCTGCTGATGATTATACGGGTTTGTTAACTAATCTTGCAATAAACTACACATATCTCGTGAGTGTAAAGTGTAACTACTTGGGTGGTGGTGTTTCCATTCTGTCGATGGCATTATAATTTGAGACTTATTAGAGAGAGGATGACAAAATAACGATAAGGTTGGTGGTTATAATTTATTTTTTGTATTTGGACCTGATTATTGCATATTTCTAGTAATTAACAAAAAAAATAAATCTTCATATTTCAACGATTTGGTTTCATTTCTTTTTTTCGTTGCAGTTTGGTTTTTGTCGTGCTGCCGTCGTGTCGCCTTCTTCAGCGTTAATTTTGTTTTATTTTTTGTTTTTTGAATTTTTGTGATTCGATTCTAAATTCAATTCTCGAAGTGCATTAACATTCATTCGTTCGTTCGCACGGTTGTCTAGACGACATACATACACAGCAGCTATCAGCAGAACGCACGTACAAATATAAGCACACATACACAGCAACCACACCGAAACACGCTAAACAGCGATAGTGCAGAAACAGCAGCAGCAAACCACCAGAGTAGTACTTAACCTATTGTCGCCGCCGCCAAATTAACAACCAGTCCATCGCACCATGGATCGGAATAACGAAAAGACACATTTTCTAAGCAACACAAAGCCAGTAACATTGTCACCATCATGGGAGGCCCAAAAACTACCAGAGGATGATTTAAATTTCAAAGGTATAGACAAGGAGAAGTTACCACTAAAACCACCGCTGGATAAATGGCGTTTGGTCTTCATCATTTTCATGCTGCATGGTTTGGGTACCCTTATGCCCTGGAACATGTTCATCACTGCCAAGAGCTATTTCGAAGACTTTAAACTGGCTCCGGTAGATGGCAATGGCACCACAATCTATGCCAGCAGTTTTATGCAGTACATTGGCTTCGCTTCGCAAATTCCAAATTTGATTTTCAACTGGTTGAACATCTTTGTGCAGCTGGGCGGAGATTTAACCAAGCGTATTGTGTACAGTATCCTGTTTGAATTGCTGATATTCATTGTTACCGTTCTGTTGGCCATTCTGGACTCGACAAATTGGCAGGCAGCATTCTTTTGGATTACAATGATCAGTGTGGTGCTGCTAAATATGGCCAATGGTATTTATCAGAATACCATATACGGTATGGCAGCCACATTGCCTATTAAGTATACGGGTGCTGTTGTGTTGGGCTCAAACATAAGTGGTCTGTTTGCTTCGGTGGTTTCGATATGCAGTACCTACATATTTTCCTCGCATCGGACCTCGGCCATTTACTATTTCATCACGGCTATGTTGGTGCTTTTGATATGCTTCGATACATATTTTGCATTGCCGTTGAATAAGTTCTATCGTTATCACACCATGCTCAGGCGTAAGGAGGAGAAACCATTGACAAATCAACAAGCCGTAACTAAAGTGCCTTACTGGACGGTTTTCAAGCAAGCATCACCTCAAATGTTCAATATATTCTTTACGTTCTTTATTACCCTGTCAGTTTTCCCGGCCGTACATTCGGACATTAAGGCGGTGGCTCCGGATTTTGTTATTTCACCGGACTTGTTTGCCTCCATCACATGTTTCTTGACATTTAATCTTTTTGCCATGTTGGGCAGTTTAACTACCTCCTGGATTCAATGGCCTAAACCAAGATTCCTATGTGTTCCCGTTATATTGCGTGTCGTTTTCATTCCTCTCTTTTTGTTGTGTAACTATTTGCCCAAGGGTGTGGATCGTACCATCCCAGTGCTAATTACAAATGAATGGGTCTATTGGATCATTGCCATTGTAATGTCTTACAGTTCGGGTTATCTCAGCTCATTGGGCATGATGTATGCTCCACAAACGGTCCAACCAAAATACCAGATTACAGCTGGTATGTTTGCTGCTGCTATGTTAATTACTGGTATATTTTCGGGTATTCTATTTTCGTTTATTATGCCTACATTGGTGGCACTGTAAAAAGGCGAGGCCAGTTGCTCCTCCCAAAAAAATGGAATATATATTCATCCCAAAAAAATACACATTAATTTCTTTTATTTTCTCTTAAGTTTTGTATACGAAAAAAATTAAATTATTTGAGTTTTAATTTTATTTTTTAATTTTTATTTTTATTATCAAAAATCATAAGCTTTTTATTTGTTTTAAGTACTAGAAGACCAAGACTATTAAACGACAACGGACAGACCAGACAGACACTTGCCACAAAATACCAACTGAATTCGAAATTAGTATTATTATTAAGAGAAGATCACAAATTATAAACAACAAGTTATTTAACAGCAAAAACACACAAAAGTGAATCCACCACCATCATTTAATATTGTAAATGTATTGTTATTAATATTTTTTGTCGTATTAAGCATATTTAATTGTCTATTAGTAAAATATGTTTAAAATAAAAAAAAACAGTAGCGAATGAAAAGGTGTAAGAACCATTAAAATATATTAATAAAAAATAAAAGTTTTTATTACATTTTTATTAACCAAAAAAATACGACTTTTTTATTATTTTATTGATTAATGGGCTTGGGAGGTGTGTTTCAAGTTGCTTTCAAGCGGATAGACAATGGAATTTGGATATTGTGGATATGAAGATTTCAAAACAATGAAAATCAGTAAACACATCGAGTTAAGTTTGTGTTTCATATATTTTTGTTTTATTTGCATAATTCTTATCAAAATTTCAAGTTCCACATAGTTCCCTTATCTGTTAAAGTTCTGGTATTTATGTTGCTTTACCTACCTCTCTCTATCTTTCAAAAACGACCATTATTTCTTGTGCATCTTTTCTTTCTTTCTCTTTAAAACTTACTCGTAACAATTTTAATAATTACTTCATCGTTTTTAAATAAACAAGATCGTAACAGAATTTTATTACACAATATAAAATGTGCTTGATTTAGTGGCAACGGCCTATCTCAATAAAAACTGTGGTGGTGGATACCGATTCCAAAGAAAAATATGTACATATATAAAATATATTACACCACCATAATATTATCATTAAATTTGTTCAGTTATTGCTTCAATTGTTTATTTGCATGTTTTATGGAAAAGCAAATATGTTTATAAACAATAATAATGTGTACAGGCGTGTTTTGTTTGGTTTTATTTATAAATAAAGGTGATTTAGTATCATTCATCGTCAGATAGCCTTTGGTATATATATACATATACAAATGGTATGAAAATTGCAAAAACATAAAAAAACAAAAGACGTAATTTTTATTTTTTATGTTTTTTTATGTATTAAGTTTTTTTTTATATTTTTTAATCTCAAATATTTTTTGTATAGAAACATCAAATTTAAAATTCAAATAGTATTTTTAACTAACGTGGGAATTCATTATATGTTATCCCCAGAAATTCCTTCCCTTTTTTACAAAAAATAATAATAAATGACCAACAAAAATAAATTAAATGATTGACAAGTTCTTCAATTCTATGTCCAATGTGCCGTTGTTATTCTTGCTTTATATTTTCGATATCAAAAAACTCAAAGAACAAATACCGCCAAGCCATTGTTTAAGATTCAATTAGAAGTCGTGTTGATATCTTCTTTATTTAACAGAATGTTTATGAGAATATTACAGTGGTTAAAAGTACAGTCGAATTCAGTTAAGCGAAACCCCGTAATTTCAGTAGTTATTTTTCTCTTATGCAGAATTTTCAAATAAAGAGACTTCGGATAAGCGAAACTCGTTGCGCTTAAACGAAGTTTTCAATCAATATATGAAAAAATGTGAAATTAATAAATAATGAAATGAGTTGAGTTAGAAATTATTTTTCTGTTGGCATGTTGCCTATATGGTTGGAAACAAGTGCACACATTCATTTTAAAAATTGCACATATAAAAATTTAATGAATTTCGTCAACATTACAATTTGTTCTCTTAAACGGTGCTGGTTCCATATACATTTGTGTTTTCCAACAAAAAAGTCTTTCTCATATACGGATTTTCAATTAACCGGTTTTTCATTTAAGCGAAGTAAAATGTTTGAAAATTCATCCGAAATATTAGTTTATAATTTTTGGTTTCAATTAACCGATTTTTTTCAATAAATATACATTTTTATTATTAATCGGTAGATGTCCATCACTAAATAGCAGAAGACACCGACTTCCTTTTTCCAGGTATGAGCACAATGGACAAAATGTCTCCTAAGTGATACGACTTCTAAACAACTGGTGTACACTGGTGTCACTCTATTATATATTATATATGCGCTCCAACAAATTGTCGATGAACTTTTTTATTCCGATTGAGGCACAATCAAAATATGGATTATGGATATTTTCAGCTTTCAAATGATATGCATATAATTTTATTTCATTAAATAATGCTGAAGCCAAAATCGTAAAGTCAATATTTTTTTTACAATATTTAGAGGAAATCCGGTATTGTAGAATTAAGATTACGGCTCAAGAAAATAACGATGCAAAAGATGCACAAGAACTTGAGGTAGAAAGAGAATATATTTGACAAAAATATTCCTAATTCGATTTCACCGAAGACATATCATCTCAGAAATAACATGCAATAACTCCACACAATGATATAAAACTTTTCCATCATGATCTTTGGAGTTATCAGCAAAAACGTCATCGCGTTTTAAATCTGAGCTATTGATATACTCGCCAAGGGCTCGAGATAAAAGCCCCAGATCATGACTTCGATTTGATTGTTTTTATCTTTGAATAAAAACTTTTATTTATAATTTTAAAGTTCAAAGGCCATATTTAAGAAATTAACAATCTGCAATATAAAAGTTACTTATGAAATACAATAGACCTCCAAAATGAAACAGAAAATATGATAGTAATATTTTAATAATCGCGATAAGAAATGCATAACATATTAATAAAAACGGGAATGCAGAAGTTAACTGTAACACTTTCAAAAAAAAATAAATAAATAAAAACAACCCAGTAAGGAAAGTAGTAAAGTCGGACGGAGGCGACTATATTGTACCCTTCACCTCTTTAGGTATATTCTACATATGTATCTTAACATGAAATTTAACGAACTTAAATATGTGATCTTTATCAATAAGTGAACCGACTAACATCAATCCATACACATCCCTTTCTGCAACCAATGCTAAATTTCATATCATTCGGGCATATTGTAGTACAAAATGAGAAATTTCGCTGTTGCAAACATAAATTTACTGTGAAAAAATCACGAGGGGTGGGCCGGGCCCACCATGACCCCAAACATCCAAATCGATGGGTATAGGGTCTTTGGTGCACCATTTACATTAAATCGGACGAAAATATATATGTTAGCTATATATATATAAATCTGAACCGATTTTAACAAAACTTCGCAGATATCACTCTGGACCTAATTTAGTACTCTGTGCAAAATTTTATCCCAATCGGACAAATATTGGGAGTTTGGTGTATCATTCACAAAACTAGGACGAAACTATAAATGGGAGCTATATCTAAATCTGGAAATTAACCTCTATTGCCGAGCTATATCTAATTTTTATAATCTTCCACCGATTTTTCTCCAATTTATTATATGTTCAATCTTGGGATATCTAAACTTTAGTAATTTTGATGAACTGTGCCAAATTTCCTTTGTTTGCAATTTACAATTGTTTACATTTTAAAAAAATTAATCTGTTATAGAGCCCAACAGAAGTAGCACATTCGAATAAAAAATTAAAAAAAAAACACCAAATATTTTTGTCGTCTTGTGTAATTTTTAATACTAAACGTTGGCAATAAAAATCATGCGGATCCTATTAATTTATGTGTTGGTTTTTTTAATCTCAAAATAACACCTAATATGTCGAAGGATCATAATTCTTATTGTTGATAAGGTAAACAAGAGTTCCGGTCACAAGTATGATATTTGTTAAATACACAAAATTCTAATTAATTGTATATTAGAATAGGTCGATTGTGAGTGATTAGCAATATTGGAAATATTATTACTATATATGAACAATATGAAGACTACAAAATAAATAAAAAATGAAGATAACATTCCATTTTATTTATTTATTTATGTTTTTCAAAAATAGCTTAATACTAATTTGTCCGCCAATGAAATCGGCATGAACTCCGGACTATGTGAAATATTCGTATTTTGTTTTTATTAAACCAGAAATAAATATTTGGATTGCATTTACATTCAAAATTTGCCAATATTGAATGTGAATGCAAAATTTCGATTTCTCTACAGTCGCCTAGGATGTAAAAAACCTAATTGTTAGTTAGTTCATTTTGTATTCTAGTATTTAATTCACTACATACATTCTTGGTGTCGCAAAATGACTAATTTGTATTCAACAACATTTTAGTTGTTTAGAATTTATTTATGGTCGTGTATAATGCCAAATGAGAATTTTGCTGTAATCAAACTAACTCAATTTGCGTACATTCGTATTTCCGAACAGATGTACATACAATGGCAAAGAAAAAAATCGGACACACGAGAAAGGAAATTAATTGAATGATTTGAATTTGGATGAATGCGATTGTTGTGGTGGATTGAGTGGAAGAGGAGGGAAATTTCAAATAGCTTTTCGATTACAAATAATAATACACAAAAAGGCCTAGTTGAACAAAGAATATACAATTTAATTGTTGCTGTGTGTATTACTGTTGATTTTAAAAATTCAGTAAATATATATTTAGTTCTCTTAATTCTAATCAAATCTAGTTGACGTATTTAATCAAGAATATCAAGCAACAATGCCACCACCTCAATGGTTTTGATTTATATTGCAGTAGATTAGCTATCGACATGTACGTACGCTCACATACACTAGATGGCATATAATAATCAAAATTTCTAAATGACATTTAACCTTGTATATATGCAGTCATTCTATTCAAAATTATTTTTCTTCTCATTCTTATTATTATGTGAAAGATTTCAATGAAAATCTATAATTTTTATTAATATATTAATTGTAAAACAATATGCCTAATTTATGGG